GCTTTGTTCAATTGACTTGGGATGATGGTTTAAAGTCTTTGGGATGAAGGGTTCAAAGACTTCAGGCCGAAGACGGATTCAAAAGTTTTGTTCAATAGACTTGGGATGATGGCTTAAAGTCTTTGGGATGAAGGGTTCAAAGACTTCTGGATGAAGACGGGTTCCAAACCTTATTCAAAAAACTTGGGATGATGATTTAAAGTCTTTGGGATGCAGGGTTCAAAGACATCCGGATGAAGACGGGTTCAAAAGCTTTGTTCAATAGACTTGAGATGATGGTGTAAAGTCTTTGGGATGAAGGGTTCAAAGACTTCAGGATGAAAACGGGTTCAAAAACTTCATTCAATAGTAGACTTGGTATGAATGTTTAAAGTCTTTGGGATGCAGGGTTCAAAGACTTCCGGATGAAGACGGGTTTATAAGTTTTATTCAATAGACTTGGGATGATGGTTTAAAGTCTTTGGGATAAAGGGTTCAAAGAGCTCAGGATGAAGACGGGTTCAAAAGCTTTATTCAATAGGCTTGGGATGATGGTTTAAAGTCTTTGGGATGATGGGTTCAAAGACATGTGTTTGGCATGATGATATTTTTAACAACGTTGGTTGTTAAACGGCTTGGATTGAAGAAGGGTGCAAAACCCTTTGCTTGTTCAATAGACTTGGGATGAAGGTTCAAAAGCCTTTGGGATGAACTGTTCAAATACATTGTTTGGGCATGAAGAATGGTTTAACACTTTTGTCAAAAGAAGGGGTCTTTGTCTAGAGACTTGGGATGAAGGTTTAAAGGTAAATGTCTTTTGGATGGGAGGTTCCAAGTTTGGCATGAAGAAAGGTTCCAAAACTTTGATAAGGGGCTTGGGATGAACATCTCATACTCTTCGCAACCAAGTTTGTGATCAGACATGGTCCTGCGGTTCTACCATCCTGTTTGCTTTTGCGAGACCTGTTGCAGCCAAAATCTCAAAAATGAAATTCTGTTGGCAACGACGAAACTCCACAGTCCAGCTCACAATGAACCAGCTGTATCAAACCAAAAGTTTGTGATCTGACATCGTCCTATGGCACAGGCATCATGTCTTAGGGTTTGAGGTTTTCGGAGAATAGGATTGGGCAAAAGAGGACTGCGAAGATAGGAGGTGAAGTTGGGCGAATGGACTTGGGGAGGGAGGGGCTGCGAAGATAAGAGGTGAAGTTGGGCGAATGGACTTGGGGAGGGAGGGGCTGCGAAGA